GGCAAAATAGAGGCTTAGCTGAATCCATTTTCATGAAGAGCTTCCCTCATGGACCCATAACTTCCAGCAAGCTGTCTGTTTCTGTTATCTTGATTTCCTAACCATCTTCATATCTAAACTATTTACTCAGCAAATACGTGTTGAGCTCCTGTTATGTGCCACCCATGGGACATACAGAGCTGAACAAGGCAGATGGAGTTCTTGAACACTCCTGGCCTCAGGGAACTTGCCTGTATGTAATGTGTCACATCGTGCAGTATATATTCTGTAATGGCAGAGGGTGAGTGTGCCAGGAAGAAAAATAAAACCAGGGTGTGGGGAGGGGGTGCTTTTAGATAAGGTGATCAGGAAAGAACTCCCTAAGAAGGTGACATGAAGAGAATTTTCAATCAAATGCAAAGATCTGGGGAAGGAGAGTTTCAGGAAGAGGACACAGCTACCAAAACTGAGGCAGGGCGGAGCTGTGCCTGTGAGGGTTCGGAAGGAGGCCGGAGTGAGTGGAGTCTCTTCTCTTGACATATATCTTGGATTCAGCCTGGCTTCTGCACCTCCCACCACAATCCACATCCTTAGCTGTAGCACTCACACCTAAGTTACTTCAAGAATCTTCCCATTGTTCTTGCCCCAAGTCTGTGTCTCACATAAGTCACCCTAAACCCCACTGCCAGAGAATTTTCCAGAACAGTTTCATCGTGTCATCTCACAGTCAAGAAGTTCCAAAGGCCCCCTCCGGCGGCTGAGCCCTTCAGTTCCTCCACAAGCATTTGCTGGTTCTGACCACGTCCCAGACGCCTGTCTAGGCACTGTGCCAGGGCCAGTGCCCATGAGACCAGGGGCTCTCACAGGGCTTATGTTCCGAAAGGAGAAGACAGACACTTAGCAAACACCAAGATTACTTCAGATGAGAGTAAGTGCCAAGAAGGAAACAGAGAAGTCAGGACAGAGGGGTAACCTGAGGTGGTCTGGAAAATCTGGGGCCGGAGTCTGTTCCAGGAGTGGGAATAGCAGGTGTCAAGTCCCTCACATGGGGCTCTTCAGAGGCTGCCGCCCCACAGCACCTCCTTTGGGAGGGTCTCCCCATCACACCAAGGAAGCGAGGTCCCTCTCCTTTGAGTGACCAGAACACAACGCCCATTCTTGGAATGGTCAGGTCTCCCGCCTCAGACTACGAGGAGGTACAAGAACCCTAACTCATATTCATATTCGGCCACCTGGAGCACAGTAGGTCACTGACCACCACCCGGGGAGCTGAGCTGAATAAAGCTTAGCGTCCTAACCTGGCCGGTGGAGTCACACCGTGTTGGGCTCTAATCCAACCTTAACTCACATTCCTGGACCTGGCTAAGCCAGCATCCTCTCTGCTCCTGTCCTCTCCGCGTGAAACTTGGCAAAGTTTACAGACTTTAATAAATCAATATTACGTGAACATAAAATTATGGAACCGAGATTATTGTTTGCCTAGTTAGAATAACTTTCAAGAATGAACATGCTTTACCTGCTGAACTGAATTAGTGAAAAATAGTTTAAACTTTTGAAACTGATATTGACAACAGTGACTTGTGGAAAATGCTTTATCTTGATTTAGTAGTTTTGTTTAAAGGCATTTGTTGAAAGACCATCACTGATCTATTCATCCCATTAATATTATTAATTAATACCACTGTTGAGCACTTCTGTGTGCAGGTATATTCCCAGGTATACCAGGGTGAAAAAAATATACACACTCTGTTGCCCTAATGGAGTTTATAGTCTTGTCAGGGATACAGGCTAGGAGACAAGAAAAGACACAAACAACTGTATAATTATGATACAGCCATTAAAGAACCAAACAGCACAGGGGACAGAGAGTAACGGAGAATTTTGCATAGTGTGTCAGGGAGCGCCTTATCTTTAAAGCTTGACTCAGCTGCACAAAACAGGGGTGGATCTCACAGCCTTTAATAAATTTTTAATAATTTAGTTAATTCTGACTGGAGGTCTCCAATGTCCTGTGTGGCCATTATAATTTTCAATGTTCTTATGACAAAGATTTTTTTGGCTTCGTCCTACAAGTAACCATAACTCACTCTGTGTTTGTAGTGTATTTGTCCTTGTAGAACAAGAACCCTTACCAAGGAGGTGGCGCTCTGTTCATCCCCCTGGAGCCTACTCTTTACCATTCATTTCAGCTGGGTAGAGTGACAGCTGTGTCACTGAATGACATGGATCACTCTGAGCAGCTCCAAGCGTGCAGACCTCTGTGGGCTCACGGCGGCCAAATCCCACAGCCACACTCAGAAGCCCTCAGGTCACCCGGTTCAGCGGGCTAGAACACGGTGCCCGCGGAACATCTGGGGGCACTCAGGTGGGAGCCCGGCGACCACGCCAGTCCCAGCCACAGGCCTCCTTCCACGCGGAGCAGCAGCCTCCCAGCTCTGTGCTGCAGAGGGGACCCCGGGGGGCTGGAGATTAATTAGGGCCCGTACTTCACAACTTCACAGAGTTAATGCGGGAGGGCGCCTGTGAGTCCAATTAAATGGTTCCTCCTGAAGCAGCTCCCCTGATCTTCTCGGAAGTGGGACAAAGGAAACGCAGGAACACGACAGGCATGAAGCAGCCACAGAGAGCTGCGTCTGTGCGTGCCCCGCCCAGACACAGAAATTATTGTGAATTCCAGCGAGCAGAGAACAAAGGCAGAGCGCCTCTCCCTGCGTCCCTGAAGGGAATGTACAGATGCTAGTAAACAGAGGGACAGGCCTCCTTGACAGAGACTGCTCATCTGGTTGTAAGCGATCTGAGGCACTGTAACAGGAGCCACTAGCAAAGAAACACATCTAGGGGTTTTGCACAACTATCGATTTGTGGTTCATCCAATAAAAGCAAACTGCTTCTAAGCTGGGTGAGAAGGTGGTGAGAAGAGCAATCAGGGAGTTGAGAGGAGAGGCCCTCAGGTGGGGCTGAGTGTCCTGGACGCCTGGCCATTGCGTTTCTTTACCACTGGGGGAAGCACGTGGTTCTGAGACTAAACTCAAATACAGACCTTAGGGATGAACCTGTCATTGTTAGGAGGCCTGTAATTCCCATCAGAGTTTCTCACCAGGGCTGGATTCTTCTCTTTATGCGTCCACCAAAATGTGTTGAGCATCTGCTGCGTGCCAGACCTCTTGCTGTTGGGTCTTCAGGGCCTCCAGAGGACATGGAAGCAGCGCTGCCCTCACAGAGCCCACATTCGAGCGGACTGGGGTTGGGGGAGACAGAAACTGGACTAACAAGCAAGGGCTCTACAAAGCAGTAAAGCAGGAAACGAGGGGGTAAGGGTGCAGGTGACGAGCAGGGGGCCTTCAGAGAAACCCTCTTTAAGGACTGTTCTGTAGACTGGTCAGGTGACATCGTGCAGAAAGTACAGGGTAAACCCTGTACTCCTCCTATAGAGGACAGGATTCCTGGCAGAACAGGAGAAGCCAGTGCAAAGTCCCTGGGGCAAAGACTGTTCCCGGCACAGCCAAGGAATAGCAAGAAGGTCGCGTTGCTGAGCAAATGAAGGAGAGAATGGTAGGAAATGAGGCTGGAGATGTAGGCCGGGGCCAGACCCTGTGGGGCCCCAAAAGGACTGGGTTGGGAGTCGTGGAAGGTTTTGAGCAGAGAAATGATGGTGTCTATTTAGACTTGAAAGGGATCACTCTGGCTGTGTGTGCAAGACAGAGGGAGCAGGCATAGCCCGGGGAGAGGACGAGGGCGGTAGATCGTTAGCACGTCACTGACATGCGCTTCATCTTCCATCCTAGGAAGCGCAGGTCCAGGTGACTTGAGTCCCTGGAGTCAGATTTCAAAACCGTAGAATTTCGGTTTATCAGAAGGTCTGTGGGAGGGTCTATGACCGCACTGACCAGTACGGTGGCCCCTAGACACATGGGTGTCCTGGGAGTGTGAAATGCAGCTAGTCTGAATGGAGCCGTTCTCTGAGTGTAAATTACACTAAGTTTCAAAGATGTGGTAACAAAAAAGGGAAGAAAGAAGCCCCAAAACCAGAAAACCTGAGTGTGAAACATCTCATTCATAATTTTATACTAATTACATAATGAAATGATGTTTTGAATATATTGGGTTCAGTACAACATAATCTTTTTTCTTTTCTTGGAATCTTTACCGCATCTAATGTGCATATGCCACACGTTAGCCTCTCACGAGCTATGGTGCTGTTTCCAGCAGAAGCCTAAGTGTGGGCTGGTGTTTCTTGCCTCGTACATTACAGGGCCCAGCACCCTGTTAGCCACACAATGTGAGCTTTGTAAATGCTTGATCCTGGACTGAAAGGAAGGTCGTGAGTGCCCAGCCGTTGGCAAGCTGCTTTCAGAATTGTCGAGAACCAGTTCATCGTAACATGGTCACTCACAGAGCAAGCAACCTATAGATAAGTTGCAATAAAAAGAATCATGGAAGAATAAGAAATTTGCAGATACTAACTCCTATATACAAAATAGACAACAAGGTCCTACTGTGTAGCACAGGGAACTATAGTCAATACTTTGTAGTAATCTATAATGAAAAAGAACATGAAAAGGAACATATGTGTGTATGTGAATGACTGAAACACTACGCTGTACACCAGAAATAAATACAACATTAAAACCTGACTGTACTTCAATTTAAAAAAATGCAAAAAAAACCCAAAAAACGTAACTCCTGTTTTCAAAGGAGTTAATTGTCAAAGTTATGACAAAGGAAAAGTAATCTGGCTTAAATTAGGACCACATTTTCCAAATGAAGTCAAAGGCTGTGGTTTTCTTTTCTCTCCTGCTCCCTCTGGTCCCACGGCCTGCAAATGGCATTCCTTGTGTCAGAATTCAGGCCTGAATATTCTGTGACCTTGACGGATGAAAACACGACTTGCCTTAGGGCGCATGGAATCCAGATATTAGGACTAAGGTTTATCTCCTCACCAGGGCGGAGGCAAGTCCTCCTCAGATTTGGAAAAACATACTCTTGAAATTGACTCCACCTCTTTCTTTTTTCTTTTTAAAATGGAGCCGCTAGAAAATTTAAAATTAAAAATACGTGGCTAATGTTTTTGGCTCACATTGTATTTCTGTTGGACTCTACTGTTATTATAAACTGAATTATACAAAGAAATCATTTGGTATTGCAAAACCTGCTGAGAATTGTTCTAGAATGTGTTGTCCATTTTCTGGTTTTAACAAACAAGTTATGCAAAGGATAGCTAATGGAACTGAATTTACTTTAATTAATGGGGTGAGTGTGTCAGTGATTCTGCATCACATTCTGCGGATGTTGTTCTGAACATCTCTCAGTGGCCCCGCTGTCGTGAAGGTGGTAAAATGGCTCTTCGACACTGGCTTTGCCCGGGAGGGGCCCCTGGCCTGGGTCATCAGCATCGCGGGTTCAGATCATGAACTTAATAGGTTTCCTGGCTGAGATCCTAGGGACATGTTTCTCAAGAATTGGTATGAGAACAGTGACTTTCCAGAAGGACAGGCTTTTCTGGGTCATTCTATCTGGCCTCTTGCTAATTTATCTTTTCTCCTCCCCAAGGTATCTGTGTCATGGGTTGGGCCCCAACCCCAGGTGGCGCAATGCAAGGTACAGGGTGGAGCCACTGCCGAGGGGCCAAGAGGTTCCAAAGACGGATGGCTTTACCCCAGCGAGGCTGCGGCATGGGAACGGGGTGCCGAGACCTTGCAGAGATGGCTGCTGATGGGAGCGCACCTCAGGCTGCATCCCTCCCAATCCTAATGCAACTTTCCAGCAGCTCTTTTCCCAGGAATGATTAAGTTGAGGAACAAGGTGGACTGTCCAGGTTCACTGGAGGAGGCTGCACACCCAGAAAGTAACTTAGCGATTTGTAGGAAGAAACGAATCATCAGGAATCAGAACATCTGGGTTGGAGAGTCCCTCAGCTCTGCTCTCTGCGGGAGACGCTGCTCAGGAGAGCAGCTCCGTCTGTGTCTGGTGGCTGCTTGATAGACAAAGACAATGAGTATGGAGATAGAAGGGTCCCCCCAAACATTTGGGAAAGGGAGAAATGGGTACTCTCTGAAGAGTTAGACTGTAAGGTCAAACCACCCAGTGAGTCAGAGAAGAGCCACGTGTATTGCTTAGCTTGGAGCGAATACTCAATATTTATGGTCTGCCTGCATGTCCAATTGAAGAGTCAGTGAGAGAATGGGTCCCAGCCCAGAGCAAGTCCTGACTAAGTATTCACAAATTTCATGGAGGAGTAAGTTAACTACCCAGAAGCACAGAGAAGAGGGAGCTTCAGAAACAAGCCTTGTGCCCACCCGTACCATCCTGAGACTGAGGCGGGCGGGGGAGCATAGGGGTCTCAGGTGTGCGGAAGGACACGTCCAGCTTTCAGAGCCTGGACCGTGTGGTGTCTGAGTCCTACAGCTGTGTTCCCAGGTTCTGACTCCAGGGTCACTAAGCTGACAATTTGGCTTCCTGTGCAGCTTTTCAATGGGAGGAACCATGCTAGTGACCTCAGTGTGATTCGTCTAGTCTGCCCGAGAGCTGTATTTCTCTATCCTGGTAAACTCATTGGGTTTGTGGTTGGAGACAGCAGCGTTTTCAAGCAGCGTTCGTTCACATAACGAAGCACTTAAATGAATTGTGTCTCCGAGGCTACAAGACTTACTCAAGGAGCAAACTCGGTAAGTGCAGCTAGTGCATCCTTCCTGTTGAGGCCCCTGTGTGTTGCTGGGTTCCACTGCCTCCCATTATGGTCTTCAGCACTGAGTACAAAGAATCGCGTTCCAGTCTGGCTAAGACGTCCGTCTTGGAATCTGCAGGTGCAGTCAGCTGACCCCAGGCCCACGTTTTGGAGAGCTGCACGAACTGTAGGTGCAGAGAAGAGAAAGACACTGAGCTGAGTGCTTATTTACCTGAAGACAGCTCTTGAATGCTTTTTAAACATGTCTGTATTATTAGCATTTTGATGTATAAAAATATAACCCAGCAGTGTGGTTTGCTCATGCACGCTGTGCGCAGGCCACTCAAGGTGGCCGCTGTCTTGCTGCCTGTACGTCCCCTGCTCGACCAGTGCCGGCTTCGCCTACACCTACTCCCGTGGCTGACCTCCTGCATCCTTGCCCCAGGCCCCAGCTAATGATTGTTCTAGCTTTAGGTGAGGACTCTCCACTATGTCAGTCAAAGGCGCAATGAAGGACATGCCTCTCTGCCGGTTTCCCTGGTAACTGATGAGCCCACCTGACGTCAGTTCCCCTGTAACCGCTGACCGCCACCTGGTCCCGCCCCGCCGCCCGCCCGCCGCTGTCGGCTGTGGGGAGTCACTCCTGAACCTTGCTTCAGACATGTAAGCTGCCCCTATCCGTTACACCAGTGATGTCTCTGTCCCTGACTCCGGGCTCCTTCTTCAGGCTTGGAGCTGTGCAGGCAGGGGCCTTGTAGGCCCACAGGGTGTGGCCCAAAACATGCACTCCGCAAACATTTATTGCACATCTGCTGTTTCAAGCCCTGTTTTAAGTGCTGGGGACATATGTCAGCGAAAAAAACACAGAGAAATCTATTCTCAAGGCAATCACAGTCCAGGCGGGCAGGCAGGAGGGAGATGATTGTCTCCTAAAATGTCTCTTTGTAACGTAAGTTTTCAAAATTATGCAGTATTCTGGGGAGAGGTAAGTGTTAGTTTAAATTTTTAAATGGCAACAGAGTAGGGTAAGGAGAATTAAGGTGCTTGCTGGACAGATTGCAGAACTAAAAAGAAGTAAAAAGGCTGGATTGAGTACTGTCTGGTTTATTTCCATTTTGAACACAGGCCCATAAGAGTAAACAGGTGACCACCCATGTTCTTTAAGGCTAATTTGCAAAACCTACAGAGCGGAGAAGATATCTCAGTATATTGACCACGTCTACCCCAAAGGAGGGCAGTTTCCCCCAGGCCCTCCTTGTGGTCTCATTAGGAGTTGCATCGGGGAAACATACACGCTGCTGGCTGGACTGTTCCAGGGTCAGGAGCACTTTGTCTCTGTTTCTGTTTGTCAGTTTGTGTTCTGGCAAGCCAGCAACCCCCGCAACCCCGGCCTGCGTCCCCTGCCTCCCTTCTCAGAGGGCGAGAAGCGGAAGGGCCCCCTTCAACTACCCACGAGGCCACTGACCACCTCCCCTGGCAAAAGACCCCCTTTGACGGGGGTTGAAGTTCTCACGAGGGTTGAAGCTCTGTGCCTCTTAACCTCAGGACACCTCGGTCCTCAGAGCTGCGACAGCTCGTTGATAAAGCTGCGCCCCAGCTTCTCTCCTAACCCTGCTTTTCAACCCTGCAGATCAGCACTGGATGGGGTGATTTGAAATGAAGGATTCCTCTTCCCCCACATTTCCCTTTCCTCCATGTGGGCTTGCTTTCTAGATCATAATGTGAGTTGACTGGCTTACATTTCCCCTTTTGAGGAGTAAAAGCAATGGCTAAAAACATTTAAGAGAATTATCAAATAAAATTAAAGAAATGGCATAGTTGGCCCTTTCCCGTAACTGTGGAAAACACTTCCTTTCAAGGGAGCTCAAAACAAAAGCATAACCCTGATGTGAAGCCCTCCAACTTAGAGTTTCGACCGAGCTTGACCAAACTTATACTGCCTCTCATAAAGGGAGACACCTGTCCAGTCCCTCAGGAGCACACACTCAGGACCTGGGTTCCTGTCAACACCATCCAGTATTTACCAGGTGTGAGCTCAGAGCTACGCAAAGTTAAGCATCCCTGATCGCGTTCTTTTTATATCTTATTTGCTAAGACTAAGCAATCAAACGTGCGTAGTAAACAGGCAAGATGAATAAACACAGAAAAGAAATAAATTAAGGATAAATAAACAAATTAGTAGAAACACAGCTACTGTGTTCCTCGAGAGGTGTGAGGTTCTAGGCTACTTCTCAGCATATCAGGAAATGGAGGGGAATGGGCTTTGGGTTCTCAACAGAACTGGCAAAATACGAGTTGCCTCACATCCTGTGCTGATGGGAAAGGAGCGGCCACTCGCAGGAGACATGTCTTAGATTTGTAAACGCTGGCTGAGGCCTTAAGGCCGGTCTTTTTCTCTGAGGCAACCATCTAATGTAAAAGCTGGTGGAAAACTTTCTTTTATCCATTTGACATTAGAAAAAAAATTGAGGTTTAGAGAAGTTAAGTAATTTCCCCAAACTGACGGCTCAGGAGATGCAAAGCTGGGAGAGCGGCCCAGGCGTACCTGGTCCCCGAGGTTGGGCTCCTCCCGTGAGCCCCGCCAGCCCGCACCTGCAGCCCTGAAGCGCCTGCCAGGGCCCCCGAATCTGGCTCTGGGTGCACACGGGTTTCCAGAGCCGAGGGGACGGACGGCTTCGGCACAGGTGCGAGGTCGTCCAGCAGCAAATGAGTGACGAGTCAGGTACCACAGCTGCGTCCAGGCTTGGAAGGCAAGCTAAACCATTGTCAAGGGACTGCCCCAGTGGCTTCAACCAGGGACCACTGCTCCACAAGGAACAGAAATTAAACATTCCTTAGCATGCAGAGAGTATTTGGATGAATGCTAATTAATGACGTATGGCACTTCCTTATAACTTACCCCCCATTCCAGGGTATCAGAAATCTTCCACAAACAGCGATGACAGTACCTTGTGAGGTAGGTGCTTCATTCCGCAGGGCAGTCAGGAGGCAAGTGAGGAGCTCACAAGAAGGTGGCAGTAGGAGGTGTGTGCTGTATCTAGCAGAGTCTAGGCAGAAGCCAGAAACCAGCCTCTGTGTCTCATACGAGTGGATCTGATGCAGGGAATTGGTTGCCAAGGTAATGGAAGAGCTGAGACACTAGAGAGGACACAGGGCAGCAATATCAAGAGGAACCAGAGCAGACATCTGCTCTGCCCCTCGGGATGGAGGCACAACAGGCAGTGCTAGGAGATCCCAGGGGCAGGACTGCCTGCTGGGTCCGCGGAGGAGGTGCAGCGACCGTGGGCACACTCACCATGCTGGGGGCTGGGGATGGAGAGAAACATCCTGCTTCTCCCTTCCTCTTGCCCTCTGGTCTTCCACCCATTCCTCCCAATGACTGAATTTAGAAGCCAGAAGGCAAAGGAGCCTGGGAAATATAATTCCCTACCATAAAGGGCTAGACAGAGAAGGACCGACCTTGAATCTAAGATCAAATATGTGCTGTACAAAAATCAACAGTGTGGCGGTCAACAGGCTGCCAATATGGTGATGGGTGGGGGAAGGGAGAGGTGGAAAGTATCACTGTAGCCACTGATGGGAGGGGAGTAGGCAGCACACAAGGACTTTCTGCTCATCCCCAGCAAACGTGACCATCAAGTATTTTGAAGCATTTTTAGGAAAATGAGAAAGAGGGTCATAAGAATGGGCTAAAATCCAGAAAACATTAAACTCCAAGGAAGTATCGAAGAATAGCACACGCCTGGGTTACAAAATAGAAGATTTAGAAGCAGCACAGAGCGAGCTTCATGTGGATGCAACTCGTTAGAATCAAGCTGGCCTAGAAGAATGGAGACGAAGCAGCGGCTGACTGCGGAGGAGCCCCCAAACCAGCACAGGGTCAGCCCCGGCTCTGGCAGAAGCTGGAAGGCTGTAGACTCCCGGACTGGGGAGGGCCCTTCCCAGGCTGCTGTTGTGCAAGGCCTTCCCGTCCCTGGGGTGAGTAACCATCATTTAGTCATTCATTCCGTGGAGATTCATTGAACCCTGCAGTGTACCAGGCACTATTCTAAGCCCTGCAGAGGAAGAAAGCAGATGAATAATAGAAACACCCCAGCCCCTCATGGGAGCCAGAGCAATCTTGTCCACCCATCTGGAGGAGGGGCGGGTTGGGGTGCCGGTACGCATGGTCAGAGAGAGCCCTCTGCCCCTGCTTCCCCCGTCCCTCCTGGTTCTGGTGGACACATTCACGGCAGTTAAACATGCAGTAGGGACACACCAGTGTCATTAATAGACGAATTACTATAAAGAACAACATTTCCCCCTGGATTCTAGTTTATTCAGTTCAACTCCACAAACGTTTATTGTGTGCCCATTCTATGCCTGGAACTGGAGCTAAAGAGGCAAATACTTCCTTAAAAAATCATTGCTTCTGCCCTCAGCATGGTAGGAGTAGGCACCTCCATGTCATTTAAATCCAGAAATTGCTGCTGGAGACCCGAGTCCTTTGCAGGTTCACACAGAAGGTGAAAAGTAATTTCCCCGCCAGCACAAAGTGGCAGTGACACCCATCAGGGCAACACGAAGCTGACCTGAGCCAGCCCAGCAGCCCTCCAGGCACCAGGTCTGAGGTCCGATTTTCAGTCAGGGAAAGCCTTTCTGATTTTGCCTCACAGAGGTCACTGCTGTCTTTGGCGGCACAGAGAAGATGAGCCTGGCCCCTGCGCAAGAAGAGCGTGCAAACCCAGATGAGGCGTTTCACGTTTTCGTGACCAAGTGGAGCACAGACGACTTTTCACACAGTGAATACACTGTATGTCATAGTGATGGATACTGAGGTGGGAAACCCCATGAAAAGACCTGCAGGACCCCCAGGCAGGGCCACTACTTTCCTGCCAGCACCACCTGGTTCCCTGACCTGGCAGCATTATCTCGCTTTTTGCTTCTGTAAAATGGCTTGCTTCTAGGAAAGCATAACTTACCCCTAAGATTCTATTGGTTCCCAGAGCTAACTCCTGATTGGTCCATTTCTACAAAGCTCATTCCTGATTGGTCCACTTTGTTACATCTTACTTGCATATGATGTTGCAAAGGCTAGACTGGCAGTCTATAAAAGCCTGTGTAAACCTACCAAGGGGGTCCAGAGCTTGGAGTGTTAACTCATCTGGGCCCACTGGCCTCTCCAACCCTCCAAGTGCTGCTTGGTCTCTTGCCAGGATCCAGGTTGCTATCACAACTAAGCTGTAACACTGAGCTGTAACACACTTTGCTGCAACAGTACGTGGCATTATACATTTGTCCAACCCCGCAGGATGTACACCACCAGGAGAGGACGGTAATGTGAACTGTGGACTTTGGGTGATAGGATGCATCACTGTGGGTTAATCTATTGTAGCAAATGTACCACTCTGGTGGGGGATGGTGATAACGATGGAGGTCATGCATGGGGGAGCAGGGGCTCTATGGGAAATCTCTGTACTTTCCGTTCAATTTTGCTGCGAACCTAAAACAGCTCAAAAAAAGTCTTAATTAAACAACAAAAAAGAAGCGTAGGCAGCTGAGTAAACTCCCTGGGACAGTCAGACAGACACGAGACAGTCCCCCCACCCTGCCCCGCTCCGCTCTGCAGGGGCCTGGGGAAGTCTGAGCAGTTCCACAGGCCAGAGGCCTCCCGGTCCGGCCCTCCCTCCCCATCTGGAAGGCGGCAGGGAGTGGACACCAGTATATTACAGTCTTATTTTCTCCTCTTACACTAATGCTTTTGCCAAAACACCCAAATAATCTAATTAGTCCAATATTATCATTTACCTTTTGATTTATTAACAATTAGGGGAAAAATACATCTGAACAAATTTCTTACCTTGTACGTTTTTTTAAAACGTGTTCCTCTGGGCTGATAAGGAAAAGGAAGAGTCTGTTGGTTATTGCAGACACCCCTTCTCCTGGTGCTAGGCTCAGAATCGCATTCTTGGAACAGTACTGCTGTGTCTTAAGAGTGCAGACACACTTCTCTTCCAGAAGAGAGAAGAGGTCATGTCCAAACCCGGACGTTCTCAGTGTAGGCGCTCTTCTTCCTGGAACATCTGTTTACCTTGGGAAGTTACATTTTTAAGCATAATCAAGGCCTCAGCCAGCCAAGTGCCTGGGTTTACTCAGTCACAGGAGGTTGGGTATCATGTAGCAATTTGTGCAGAGCCTGCAGTCTATATTTTCCAGAAAGGAGAAGGGCTGCGAGAGTCCTGTTGGGGCCCTCCCCCGCCCCCCTCCTTCCCCGGGATTTGCAGCCTGAAGCTGAGGAGGTCACCTATGGGGAGGGGCGGGCCTCACCCACCTCACCCCCTGACTTCCTACTGCCTCATTCTGACTGATTGTCTCTAGAAAAAAGTTACTCTGCCTCCATTGGTTCCTAAGTAGCATTTCTGATCATGATACTAAGGGTTTTTGTGACTTTCAACACCTGGAGACACCCATGGAGAGTCAGGCTTTGTCTAAACAGTGTCACTGTTGTCGTTGGCTCGAGCAACCAGGTCAAAACATTACACATCCTTCCAACAACTGTCTGGGGATGAACTTGAGGGTTGGGTGGATTTTTTTGTTTGCGTCTTTGGTTGATTGATTAAAGCAGCTGGAGTAGTTCAACAGGTGTGGGAGGGCAGGGTCCATTTCAGTGCCTGCTCGTCCTCCTCGGCATTAATTAAAAGGTTTTATATCAAGGTTAATGCCTCTCAAGTTAGCTGCTGAAGGAAGCTGGATCCACCCGTGGAGAGAATAGACAATACAAGAAAAACCAAAAAATGAACAGAAAGGCATCCAAACATTTCCTGCCTCACGAGGGGATGCAAATAAGAAAACAGCCTCTGGGGCTTTATTTAAAGTGATACTTCTATGTTACAGCACAGATCTCTGCCTTCACCTCCCTAGGCCCCTTTGAAGGCCGGGGAATGTCTGATCTTCTCTGTGGCCCCGCAGTCCTTCGCCCCGAGCTGGCGCATAGTGACTGCACAGGGCGGGTGCTGGCAGGCTGGGTGACGGTCAAGTGCATGTGCTCTGGAGTCCAACGGCCTGCTTCGAGCCCCTGCTCTGACGCATCCCAATGTGTGAACTTGAGCACGTTTCTTTAGCTTTGCTAAGCCTCAGTTTTCTCAGGGAGGAAATTACAGTATCTGCTTCTCAGGAATTCCACGAGAATCAGATAAGCCCAGTACATGGTGAGCCCGCAAAACATCCTGTGACTAAATCTGGATGATCTGGACAGAGAAGCTCATCGGTGCTGGTTAAACAGTTAGTGCTTATTAATGAAGTCTTCAGGCAAAGGGAAGCCTACTCATCTAGACCAGTGCTCAGTGAAGATGGAGTGTTAGGAGGTGGGTATTTGGGGAAAAGCCCAGTGCTTGTCCAGTATTAACAAGAAGACTCTGAGGGATTGCGGTTTCGGGAGCTCTTAGTTGGAGGCAGTTTGCTCGGGAGAGGCTTACAGGCAAGTGGAAGACTCCCAGAAGACTGTTCTGCGCCTCCCTTTGTGAGCTGCTCCTCTCAAGTTCTCTCTTCCCCAAAGCCCTTCCCAGAATGGCACATCCCTGCTGAACTTGAAAAGGGATGGACACTGAGAAACGGGTTCAGAGCCTGCCGTGCAGTCATCTGCCACCCGGCCTTGCCCTAGGGCATCCCCCACCTCGTCTCCTGTGTGTGTTGTGCCCTGCAGGTGTACCCACTTAAGTTATTCTGCCCTGGGAGCTGTGCATTCATTGTGTGCTGACTGCACGGCTGGGTCTCGATAGTAAAGGACATTACTAAGCCTGCGATAATAGAATTCTTGCAAGTGCCAATGCGGAAGTAACAGAAGCAGGTCCACCAGCAGACGGCCCCTGACATCGCAGTTAACTCCGGTGATAAAGAAACGGTGGGTCTGAATTTGGTCCCAAACTCTTATAACCAGTTGACATCTGGAAACACTGGACTCTCTGACCCAAGTCAGTTTAGAAGGTGTGTTTACAGCAACTATGAACTATAATCTTTAGGAGAGAAATGTCAGTTAAAAACTTTAAAAAGAAATGTGGAAATAGTAACTGTTTGATACAACTAGTGTACATCAGCCAGGAATGTCAGCACTGGCCCTCACTTCCGAGCCTCTAAGATAACAAAGCATAGAATGTGAGGTCTGGACCACTGTTCCATTGTGCCCATTTTATAGACAGGAAATCTAAAATCCTGAGAAATCAAATGGCTTACACACCTGCACACACATCATGTACATTTCTCCCTCAGTGGAAGGAACGTGGGCCACTTTTCCATGACCACTTTTGATTTTAAGACTTGGCTATTTCACGTGGCCTCAAAACCCAGTGTGCTTTGCTCTTGGTTTAACTGTGCTGTCTGAACTAAAGGCTTAACTTGTTCTTAATCTTGTCTCTGAAATGCTGGCTCAGAGAATTGGTGCCCTGCCCAGTAAGTCACAGGCACAGACGACGCAAAGAGCCAGTGCACACACTTCTTTAGCAATAGAAAGCGCCTGGGTCGGCGATCTGGGGACCAGATTTTCACAGCGCCTGTGTCAGTGCCAGCATACCAGAGTTAGACATGAAAGCGGAGCCAGAGATAGTGGCGGTGATCCGGGGAGGTTATCAGAGCATACCAGATATGATCAGGGAAGATCATCGTGGCGGAGCTGAGACAGCAGTGCCGGCAGCAGCTCTCCTGGGTAACTGAGTGGGTGGGATCCCCGATGACAGAGAGCCACAGAGATGGTGCCTTCACACCCCTGCTGTCATCCGTCCCTGATGAGGTGGTGGTAACCATCTCTGGGTTAAAGAGCAGCTGGGAATCAGAATCTATGAATATCGCCCAGCAGAACTGGAGTGATGTCGCCAGTTAAAATGTGACCTTTCTGCCCAATGTAGACAGGGGCAAAGTGACTTTCTCAGGTATTGGGGACAAGGCATGCCTTCCTTCTCTCAGGGTATTTGGTGGCAGCTGAAGACTTGTGGTTCATGTCCACATACTCAGCTCCAAACTCCTCCCCGTTATAAAAATCAAATCCTCTCCATCTTAACCCACAGCTCCCTGACATCACACACACGTCTCACTCAACCCCTGCCACCCCCATGGGGTTTTTCTCTCCTAGTTGCATTTAATGATGATTGGAACCTCACTGCCAAATGGTAATCATGTCTCTGATGGGCAGTAGGAATAAGGTCCAAGGTGATTTTTTCTGGGATCAGCCTCAGTCCTGGGTTCTCAGACACCATCAACATTTTTCTAAGCTACTTTGAAGGTGGTGTGGAAAAGGCCATATAGGCAGAGCACAAAGGTAGTGACTGCTCAGTAATTATGACCTGGACACCCAGGCACTGGGGCCACCTGACCTGTTCCCAGAGCAGGGCTTGGAGGTCGGCATGAGGCAACCTCGACTGGGTCTGGGGAAGTGATGCCCCACGGAGGATCAGGTCCGTGATGGAGTCAGCCCCGTATCCCACAGCAGGGAACTCAGCTGCAGACACCTCTCCACTGGGCTCTCAGATAAGGAGGAACCATCGTACACAGGCCAGTGGAAGTAGGGTGGCTCAAACAAGTTCCATCTTGAGCCTGGGCATTTGCATCATGATAGCACAGATTCATAAGTGAGAAGAGGCACATGAGAGGCAGGTACATGGAGGCGATTGTGGGTTAAGCAGACTCATCAGCTCCATTATGCCAGAAGCAAGGAGCAGGTCAGATGGGCCCTCCTAACCCAGACTCCATTTATGTCCTGTAATCATGACCTGTGTTTCTTAATGAGTAACAGAAATGCTGAGGAGCATTTATTTCACGCTGTCAGGGCAAAAAAAAAAAGCCATCTTCAGGGAGAGTCTCCTTTTAGTCTGCTCTGGAGAGGAAAACTGAATGTGGAAAAATGTTAAGGACTAAATGGGCTGGAAACAAAGCAAAAGGAGCCCTTTATTCTTGAGCAAGGCCAGGTTTTGGCTTGGCTTTCTTTCGGAAATTCCCCTTGTTTCCAAGCCTGGAACTTCAGCTTCACGGGGCAGGGAACCTCAAGGAAAAAGGAAAAGGGACTCAAATCCATGCAGTGGTTTCCCTGTAGCCTTCACGGGACACGCGCTGACCCTGGGGAGGTGATGGAGCCGCACCCAGAGCTCAGCTGTCTGCATTCAAATCCCAGCTCTGCCACTTGCCAGCTGTGTAACCTTGAGCGAGTTCCTTAACCTCTCTGGGCTTTGGGTTAACTCACATTATAAAATTCTACCTACCTCTCACAGGGTTGTCATGAGGATTAAATAAGCTAATACCTGGAGGAGGCTAGAAGAGAATTTTCTGGCCATTTTTACTAGCTGCAAATAATAGAAATAGATAGCTGATAAGGGCCACTGAATAATTCCAAATGATCATTTGCTTCTCCACTGACATCATGACATCAGCTAAGAAGAATTAAAAGGCTAATTGTAGAGGGAGCAAAGTTATTTTTGTAGATTTCCTAGATTCTCAGAAAGTGACATCATGTCAGAGCTATGTCTAGTGTACTGTCCATTCATTTGGCAAATATCTGATGGTAACATCTAGGCATGAGAGGTCCTGGCCTCCAGTGGAGGAGCAAGGCAAACACATTCCCACCTGTGTGATGCTCAGACCAGCACAGAAGACAATGGCATGACAGGTAACCTCAGTCTAGGGCCATGAAGGTGGCAAGAGGGTAAGTATGGGATTCTGGCTGCTGACCAGGTGAGAGGCTGGGTCTTGCACGGCCCCAGCCCCGCCAGGTACCCAGCACAAGCCAGACACACAGTAGGTGGTTAATAAATGTTTAAGGAACTAATGGATACAGCACTTACTGTGCTGTATCGTGTGTCTCATGTAGTCCATTATCTCATAATCTTCAGACCAAGAACACGCCTCCTTCATTGCTGTGTCCCCAGCACCTAACATCATGTCTAGCACACAGGGTAGGGAGTGATAAATGTTTGTTGAATTGATGTGAATGGCTGATAAAACCTAACGTGTCTCTTCTCTGTTTAACTGTGGAGGCCCTTCTTGCTTTAACCGAAAGAAGTAAGAAACTTGACAAGATCGGTAACCATGCTGTGTTTAGGAGTTGGGTCTTGTCACATCCATTTAAATTACTTACGTAACTGGATTTCTGCTCACTCTCAGCTGCCATGATGACTTCTTTTCTCTTATTAAAACTCTCCTCCCCCATCTCTCTGAATATTCCTCTATTTTCCCCCTAGGTCAATGTCCTCCTCCAGGCTGGCCATCTCCCAGCCTCAGTCCGAGGCCCAGCAGTAGCTATGATTTCTGTGGGACCACTAACTTTACCTGCTCCCTCTGGTAGCAAAGCTGTCTCCTGGCCCCAGGCGTGGACACATGGCCAGGTCTGTATTCCTCTGGCAACAGTGATTGGCCCAGGGAGTGGGCATGTGCCCCAAGCAGGAACAAAGTCCTCCCTGGCATGATGGCTGGACCCTGGTGTGGTGAACCTGGGAGGATGTCACCCTGGGGCTGTTGGTGGCCACCAGGCCCTACTACACGGA